ATTAAGAATCACAACGCAGATGCGTTGTTACCCCTGAAAACTAATATGGAAAGCCTAGTATCCAGTAAAAAGGGTCTCCGGATCTCTGCGCTCACCATACGAAACACAGCATTACTATTTTATGCTGGTATTCTGTGAGAGCGTGCTCCTTCCCCGGTCGTACTGACCCATTCGTGCTACAACTATAATAGTGGCTCTAGCACGTATGAATGTTGTAAAAAGAACAAATCATTCATTCGATATCACTGCAGTGACAAAAGAGCTACATGTATCGTAAGTGGCTGCAGCTACATATGAATCCCTGCAAGCAAATTCAATCAAAGAAGGTTTAAGATGTGCTATCACCTCTGTGGACTAAGATAGAATGAGCCTCAGAGCTTATAAAGATACCGGTTCCCTAAACCCTTCAGACTAAAACACAGCGCGCACTACTGCTTGGCGACAGAAAGAAGTAAGAAGGAACATATCTCTAAGCAGGAAAAAAGCTTAGTAATAAGAATGAAAACGAAAGCCCACACTCTTTTGTTACTAGTCTCGTAAATTCACCTTCTACAGGTTCACTGACCGCCGTCAACGAAATTTAAATAACACAAAGAGAGTATATTTAAAATAATTCATGTCATTCTAATCTCAGCCTGGGAAATATGTGAAGTCAAATAAAATGGTATATAAATAAGAATTAATGTCGCAGCGTGAGCTATGATTTAGGAGCGCCGACACTAAACCATACTCCAGACTAAATTGTGCCACAAATCACATTGACATCTACGGCTTCGTTTTTAACCCTAATACTGCTTACAACCCAATCAAAATTAGTTATATTTATACGCGATAGAGCAACGCTGCGGCAATATTATAATTGTAACACCAATGGGTCAACTCGACCTGGGACTCGACAGGGAGCAGGACCACGCTCTCAGAGAACACCAGCGTAAAATAGCAGCTTATTGCAGCTGTTTAGTATAGTGAGTGTAAAGAACCAGATAGAATAGAATAGAATAAAATAAAATTATTTTATTCAATATATTATAATTAATAATATAATATTATAATTGCAATTTTAAGTGAGAGTAGAATACAATTAAACGATTTTATTTAATATACGTTATTACACAATACCTATTGAAAGAGAAATAAGAGCGTGGCGTGTAGCACCAAAAAAAAAAAACAGAAATGAGAGGAAGCCTATGCCCAGCAGTGGGACGTCTATAGGCTGTTTATTTTAACCTCTAGAAAGTCATTATTTTATTCACCGGAGACCCTTTTTACTGGAAACGAGGCATTCCATCTTAGTCCTCAGGAGTGATAACGCGTCTGCGTTTTGATTCTTAATCGAGGATAAATGTAGATGTCTATTAGCCACAGAAAACAACCGATAGATCATACATAGCCATATATAAACAATTTTGTTTACGCCAGGCGTAAAATACCCAGATCCCAGAACGGAGACGGGTAGCAATGTGAAAGGTGCGAATCGTCTGGTACAATGATCGTCGGCCCGCCTGCCAAGAATTAAAATGAAGACTAATTTTGACAGCTCCGTGTCGCAGTGGTTTAGCAATGAGTTGCGGTGCTGAAAGCTGAGTGAGAGGGAAATAATTGCGAGTCTGGACGTTTGTTCTTATGAATTTATTTATGCAAACTGTCACCACGAATCGGCGAAAATCCGTCCGAAAAAAAAAAGAACAAATCAGGGGAGAATCGGCTTTAATCGTCACGTCATGTCTAAGACCCCAGTAGAAAATTGGGGAGGGGGGGGAGTAGAGTATATATATAGCCTTTTTTCATTTCACTTTGTCGAAGTGAGGTCTGTGATTTTTACCTATATTTGCGATCACAACGATATCAAGTTATGGCGAACGCGTTCACGTATTCATACCTACATAAAAATCTCTTTTTTCTTGCCCCGAAATCCTCAGAAAAGAGAGGAGGCCTGTGGCCAGCTAAATCGATATAGCCTCTAAGTTTACTTTTTTTAACATAAAAATAAATGATTAAGGGCAATCAATGGCTACAGCAAATGCTGTCGCATCGGATAATGATTATTTCCCTTATTTTATTTGGCACGATAAGGATATGCCGATCCTTTGTTGCATCGCTTTTATACCAACAAGTAAGTAAAAATTCTAAAACTATAACCTTAAAATTCCTTGTTGTATGTAAGTTGGTGGATCCTAGATAGCTAGGGTAGATACCGTCCTCTTAACTATTTCCGCTATCACATAGCAATGCTTGCTCTGCTATGTTCCACCTGAAAAGTTTAAATATTCTGTATCATTACAGGCTTTGAGGCATTCCATCTTGTGACAACGCATCTTTAATTTTCTTCATTCGACTTACTACTTACAGGTTGACTTTTTTAAAATATTCATTTAATATTCCTGCATATAAATTAATTGTCCGCTCTGACTAACACTTAAAATGTATCAAATACCTTACTTTATGGATGAATGTAAGCCAAGTATCAAGTCCAGGCATACACCGCAAATTTACAGTCTGCTCACGAGTGACCGCTCAATGTAGCTATTATAAAGGATAAATCAGTCGTTAAAGTCTGGTTGAACATACGTGTTCCTAAATTGTAACATGATTTAGTTAACTTTAATATGAATAATATTTTATATGAATAAGTTAAGTCATACTGTTATGACTTCAATAAAACTTGAAACTCGATGGGATGTGGATATAATATCCAAACAGTTGCAAAATTCAACTACAACCAATTTTACGTTGTTAAGTATGTGTTATTTGGAAACGATATTAGAACCTTTTTACTGGAAACGATGCATTATATTTTAGTCCTCATGGGTGACAGCATCTGCATTTTGTTTCTTAATCGAGGATAGATATAGATGTCTTGCCATCAGGTGGAGTGTGTGCTCGTTAGTCACCCTTATTATATAAAAAATACATGCAAGCGATAACGCCCATTGTTTCTTTTTGCCTTCTTCATTTTTGTTATTGCGTATGTTTTAATTGTCCAGTCTTATTGATTGCGATTAAATCAATTTTACCACAGAGCTTTCCTTAACTTTTTAATTCATGTAGATTTAAGAAGAAAAATTGGAATAGAAAACTATTTACTATGTTATATTCGTGCTACGGGATTGTTTTGGAGTAAAATCTCTTAAGTTCAGATATTGTCGATCGGAACAAACTTTTTATAAAATCTAGTCTAAAGTAATTGACTCGTCAACAATTTTTAGACATACATTATATTAGTAAACCTATAGCTTATATGCTTCCCTCTGCTGGGTACAATCAGCAAGGTTTGAAAAAGCTGTTATTCAAATGAAATAGTTTCAGAAACTGTTATTTAAATCAAAAACTCTTATCGTGTCGCCGAACAAGTGATAAATTAGCACTTAAAATTACATTTATAAGTCTCATTGGTGGCAGTGGGGATTTAACCCGGGTTGCTCGCGTTCTCTACAGCGAAGGAACAAAAAAAAACTATTTAATATACTTCATCACCTCTAGAATAACTAACCCTAAACAGACATCAAATATTATTTTTGGTTAAATACCTGACCTTGAGGATGGTTTTCCTCCATGTTTACGCTGTGTCAATTCTGTCCATAGTAAATCAAGCGCATCGGCCCGCCGGGGCTACGTCAATGTCAGTGTTGTATTTAAGTCAACGCTTTATGTGGAAATTGTTTGCTAGTTTTAACGGGAAAATGTACCCTATTTTTATATATAGTATGAGGTCATGTTGACTACTTAACGTTAAAACTATTTTTTTTTATTAGGGGCCAATTTTTCAATCCTCTAATAAAACATAAAGAAATAAAAAATTACAGTTGTGCAAACGAAATATTTCAATTGCGTTCACTTTTATATTCAGCCTGGTTTAAGTTTATTAGAATTTAATTGCCGAATGAATAATAGGCCCTTTGACACATATAATATACATAATACTGTCCTCCAGACCGAATTTCGATCACGGCGACCAGTCTCAACGGAGAAAAGCCATCTGCACAGGACAGGTTCATAGTGCCCATGCCCAAGCACAGTTGATTAGACGCTGGAGGCCAACGGCTTCATGCTTTCCGAGGCACGGGAGTGAAACACCGTCAACTTTCCGACTCTGGGTTGCTACTGAGAATTTCTTGACAGAAAAATCAAATGATTGTTTTTAGCCTGACCCGGGATTCTAACCTCGGACCCCTTGATCAGCAATTGGGTTTACGACCACTAGACCAACGTCATAAAAAACACATAATAATACATGGAAACGAAAATATGAAAAAGCTAGAGATAAACAAAAACGAAATAGCAAGTAAGAAACTAAATCATAGATAATAAAGGCCCCACAGATATTCTGGATTTTTTAGAACGAATACAAAATAAATAAATGTGTTGCACGCAGCATGCATTTCTTACACAATTACTTGTTTTCATGATCCACGTTATATTTTATTTATTGCCGCTGTCTTTTATTTTTGTAGATCAAGGGACTATATGCAAGTTTTGTCGATTGACATTTCCTTACGAACTTGCATTCTTATTTAATTTAATTATTATTTATTAAATGAACATTAATATAGGATTTTAACAACCCATAAGAAATAAGGACGGGACACGAAATTAACTAATATATAAAAATTAATGTTTCTTTGTTCGTATTTTATGCGCTGCCATACCGTTCATCATATTGCCGTAAAACTTTGTCGACTTTTTGCTTGCACTTTTTTTTTTTTTTTTGCGGATGGAAAATCATCTAATGACCCCTTTCGCTCTGGGTGGAGCGTAAGGGAGTGTCAGACTTTTACTGACTAAAAACCATCCGTGTTCCTTCAGTGCCCTTACGTTCCGGAGCCGCGGTATCTCTTTCGAATAGCCCGCAGCCCCGGCAGGCGTCGGCCCTTGCGGGCCCCATCACGCTGCTGACAGCTCTTTGAGGCGCGCGTGGAACAAAACGCGCCGTCGACACGGCCTGTCGTCGTTAGACGGACGGACGACGAGCTACCCATTGCTCGCCGTCCACAGGCCCGCGCCTACGGTGGCCGGGGGCCACGACGTAGCCCCCGACGCCCGGGGCGTCTCCCGCGGCGGCCTGGGAGGAAAGCTGCTGCTCTTTCCTTCTCCCGCTCCGCCACCTCCTTCGCTAGCATCACTGCTTCGCAGAAGGTGGTGACGGCATCCCATTCCGTCTCGCTCCGGACCATGGCTTCGACCAGGGCCGGACGCGAGAGGTCGCCGCCGCCTATCGCCGCTACGAGGACACGGCGGTGCTCCGCCCAAGCAGGGCACACCTCCACGGTGTGTTCCACCGTGTCCTCCGGTCCATCCTCGCAGTGGGAGCACCCGGGCGTTTCCTCCCGCCCGATTCGGTGCAGGAACCTCCCGAACACACCGTGTCCGGTGAGGACCTGAGTCAGGCGGAAGGTGAGGATGCCGTGGCGTCTCTCAAGCCACTCCTCAAAGAGGGGTCTTATCGCCGCTATAGTGGCGTGCCCAGCACGGGGTTGCGACAGTCGCTCTCTCCATGTCGCCATGAGATCGTGCCGGAAGACTGTCCGCTGCGCGACAACTTGCCGCGGCAGCGGGGTTTCCCCCCGGCATAGTGCCTCCGCGCGCCATTCGTGCAGGCGTGCGAGGACTACCGCCTCCAGATCCCATGGCGGCAATCCGGCAAGGAGGCTCGCCGCCTCGCGGGAGATCGTGCGGTAGCCGCGAACCATTTTAACGGCGACCACCCTTTGGGGCGCGTTCAGGTGGTGGACGGCAAGCCGCGCCAAACCACGCGCCCACACCGGGGCCCCGTAAAGGGCCATGGATCGCACGATCCCCGCGTAGAGCCTCCGGCAGGAGGCGTTTGGCCCCCCAGGTTCGGCAGGAGTCGCCTGAAGGCAGCCCCGGTCCGTTCCAGTTTGGGAGCCAAACGTCGGAAGTGCTCAACGAAGTTCCATCGGCCGTCGAGGACGAGTCCTAGGTACTTCAGCGTCGACTCGACGCCGATGGATACCCCTCCTACCATTACTGAGGATCCCGGTGGTGGCCTGTTCCGAGGACCATGGAAGTGCATGGCCTCGGACTTGTGCAGAGCCACCTCGAGACCCAGTTGCCGAATCCTCTCAACGACTATCGCAACCCCGCGTGTCATAGTTTCCGCCGCCGCCTCGTACGACCCCCCTTGTGCCAGTACCAGCGTGTCGTCAGCGTAGCAAATTACGCTGACGCCGGTAGGGAGGTCGGCGCGCAGCACCCAGTCATAACCGATGTTCCACAGAGGTGGCCCCAGAACCGAACCCTGTGGGACACCGCACGACATCTCTCGCCGGTTCCACTCACCGTTGCGACCGGGGTAGATGACGGCCCTGTCCGTCAGATAGTCCCCGACTATACGACGGAGATAGGTCGGCACCCGGTGATACCGGAGTGCCTCCCTAATGCAGCTCCAGGGCATGGAGTTGAAGGCGTTGGCGATGTCAAGAGACACCGCCAAGACAACCCCCCCTCTGGCCACTGCATCCCCCGTCGTGAGGGCTCTCACGCGCATGATGGCTTCCACCGTAGAGCGCCTCTTGCGGAAACCAAACTGGTGTTCCGCAAGATCCGGCCCCGTCCCCGCAAGGTGCTCGGCGAGGCGGTTTGCAATGACTCTTTCAAAGAGCTTGCCCACCTCGTCGAGCAGCACCACGGGCCGGTATGCGGACGGAGAGTCCGCAGGGCGCCCCGGCTTCCGAATGAGGACCAGCTTCCCCCGTCTTCCAACGAAGCGGGAATTGGCCTCTCTCCAAGCATGCGCTTAGGAGCCCCTCCAGTCGGGGCCCGAGAGCCTCCGAGGCCAGGACCCAGGCTTTGCCAGGCAAGCCATCGGGTCCTGGGGCGGTATTCCTGGCCTTGAGCCTACGTACCGCCACTCTCAGGTCTACCCCGGTCCCTTCCGGGATGTCGTCGTCGTCGTCCTGGTGGTCCGCTTCCGGCACCGCATGTGGCGGAGCCATAGGCGGGGGTGGATGTTCCCGTCGCGCAGGGAACAGAGCGCTCACCACGTCCTCCACGAGCTGGGGCCGGAGACTTTGCGTCAGCGGGGGGGCCCAGGTGCGGAGTTTATCCCGCACCATCTTGTAAGGGCGCCCCCACGGATCTCTGTTGAGAGTCTCCAGCATCTCCTCACGGGCCCGATCCCGGGCCCGCAGGACAGCCTCCCGGAGGGCGTTCTTCGCCGCTCTGTATCCCTCGTACAGCTCCGCCTCAATGGCTGCCGCATTCGGTGGACGAATGCGGAGCCTGCGATGCCTGGTGTACAGGTGCCGCGCGGCGATACACGCCTCGCGCAGAGACGTCAGCTCACGCGACCACCAATACACCTGACGCCGGGCGCTTCCTGGCCGGACGCGGGGCATTGCCACGTCACATATCTCGGACATGGCCTCCTGGAACCACCCTGCCTCATCATTGACGTCGGCAGGCCTGTCCGGTGATGACACCCAGGCCTGCACGATCGAGGCTTCCAGGAGGAGCTCCCGGTCCAGCTGCTTCAGCGCCCAACGCGGACCACTCGGGGCCTGTTGGACTGGCGCGCTCGAGGGCTGGGTGGAGACATCAAACCGGATGTACCGGTGGTCGGAGTAGGTCTCCACCCCCCTCCATGACACGCCAGTCAATGGCACGCGGCGACAGAGCGGGGCTAGCGAACGAAATGTCCACCACCGACTCGCCCCGCATCCGCACACACGTGGGGACAGAACCCCGATTTAGGACGACCAGGCCTGTCTCCAGAGCCCAGTCTTCCACCATCCTACCCCGCACATCTGTACGACGAGAACCCCAAGCCAAGTTCTTGGCATTGAAGTCCCCGAGGACAAGTACGGGGAGGGGATAACTTCCGACGACGACTGCTCTCAGCTCTGCAAGAGAGTTGTGGAGCTCGGCGAGAGATCGGTTCGGGGAGAAGTACACCCCCACAACGACGAACTCCCCGAACCGTGCTGCTACGCACCCCTGACCCCTCCTGACACCTTCAAGGGTCGGGGTACCGGCGGCGGCCGAAGAGATGATGGCCACTGAGCCGTTAAGGTCCGCCACCCAGTCCTCCCTAGGCCAAACAAAATACGGCTCAGCGACCACAGCTATGTTAATCGACCACTGCGCCATGCTCTGGATCAACAGATCCTGAGCGCAGGCGCAGTGGTTGATATTCGCCTGGAGGAAGCTTAATGGGGCCGTTATAGGCATTCCATTTCAGCTTCCTCCACGGGGGGCCCCTCTGCGGGCGTCGGTGTCGCGGCGGCGGCGGCGGCGACAGTGATAGCAGTGGCGGTGGCAGTTGCGGCTGCGGCGGAGGCCACAGAGGCGGTGGCGGCTTTGGCCCCTACCCTACCCGCGGCCTTGGCCTTGGCGGGTGGCACGCAGGCCTTGCTTCCGGCCCGGTGATCGGCTGGCTTGCCGGTCGCCGCACACGCATCACAGTGCGGCGTGGCGCAGCAGGTTGCCGATATGTGTCCGGGCTGACAGCAGCGGAAGCACAGGCGACTACGGTCAACCTCCGAGGCGCATCTCACTGATACGTGGTGCCCCACGAGACAGCGATAGCACCTCAGAGGTCTGGGCTCCAGCAGCTTAACCTGCGCTGAGACCCAGCCCACCAGCAGCCTTCGGCCCTCCACTATGGTTTTGGCCGCCGTAACAGGGCAGCACACCGTGGCGGCATGCATGCCCCGTTGGTCCGGGCGTATGGCGCCTGACCTAACCTGGTCAGTAGTGCACCCCCCGGACCTGGCGACGGCGGCCACCAACTCCTCCTCTGATACCGAGTCGTCCAGACCCATGATGCGCAGGTCTGCGCATCTGACGGGCCTGGACACCCGGGCCTCTTCCGCGTCCAGAGACGCTCTGAGCTTCGCAGCCAGAGCGTCCGCGGTCGCGCCACTGGATTCCCCCGGGGACCTCTAGCATACGGGCCCCCGTCTGGGTGACTTTGAGCCGGAGGCCCCCGGTGATCCCGAGCTCCCCGAGATCCACCGCCTCCTTCGCCTTCGCGAGCAGATCGCGGTAGGTAACGCCCTTCTTTTCCGCGTCCGGCTGTAGTGTAATCACTACAGCTGCGGTCTTCGGGGCGCGGAGCCTAGCCGCGATCTTGCGCGCCCTGAACTGGCGCTGCCGCTCCTGCTCTTTGGCCTTTTTGGCTGCCTTCTTACCCTTCTTCTTGTTCCCGACCACCTGCCAACCGGCTTCAGCCGCGGGAGGTGTAGGGAGCTGGGGGGGCAGTGACGGTGGCGGCAGCTGGCTTGCCGCTGGCGCTGGCACATTCGCCGCAGGCACTGGGGCTGGTGCAGCCACCACCTGTGCTGCCGCCTTGCCCTTTCTCGCCTTCGTCTTGCCTCCCTTTCCCGTCGCCGGCTTAGCCGGAGCCGGTTCAGCCGGTACCGGATTTGCCAGAGCCGGCTTTTCAGGGGGGAGGGGCAACTGCAGCCCCGCCCGAGGGCTGGCTAGACGGCCCCGGCCTGGATGCGGCAGCCGTGGCCGCCGCGTACGAGACCGTTGCCGGCCTCGCTGCCGTCTTGTTTGCCCCTAGGGGGGGCGCAGGACGATGCCCTCCAGCACGGAGAACCGGTGCTGGAAGGCAGCCAGCTCCTGCCGGACCAGGTTCAGAACCTGGTTCTCCACCGGCACGGGCCGGCTTGGGCACTGCGTCTGGGGCGCCGCGCGAGAGGCAGGCTCACGTAGACTGGCCAGGTCTGCGCGGAGCTTCTCGTTCTCCTTCTGGAGAGTCTCCATGGCGGACGTCAGGCGGGCCACGTCCGCCCGCAGCTTTGCCACCTCGTCCGCATTAGGCCCGGCGCCAGCAAAGTTGGCCTCCGCAGCCGCCATGATGGAGGCGGAGGCCCCGGGAATGGCCTTAAACTTCGAGGCGGGCTTTTGCTTGTTGGCCACGACCTTGATCGCGGCCTCCACCTCCTTTACGAATCTGGCCTTACGCTCCACATCGGAGCCGCCAGTCGCACTCGTCTCTTCGCCTGATACCGTATCGCCCGGGTGGCGCCCCCTCCTCGGCAAGCTTTGCCGCTCGTTCGGCCCTCTGATTGGCATTCCCCTTGCCTCTCAGCCCGCCCCGCCCGTTGGTGGGGATTTTCCGGGCCGAGACCTCGTCTTCACCGGATGATGGCCCCTGGTCGCCATCCCGCCTGGACCGCTTGCGGAAGAACTTACTGTTCTCCGCGGTCCCAGGCCCCACACGTCGGGAGCTCTCTGGGCCTCCCACGCTGCTCGATGCGGCGTCGGACTCTGTCCCCGCATCGTTCCTCCTCTCCTCTACTTTTTTGTTTGTTTGTTTTTTTTCCATATTTGTACCCACGATTATGGGGGAATTAAACGTCCACCTTGGCAGAGACCCCTGTACCAAGGTAAGCAGATTTAGAGGATTTATTACTCGCCAGGGGGTCTGCAGGTACCCTGGCGAGGACCGCACTTGCGGCTGATTTGTTCATAGAACCCCGTCAGCCATCCATCCCCTCGCGGTGCGTCGCCGCTTGGGATTCGGGGTAACTTTTTATAGAGGTTTTCTCCCTCGCGGTCCGGGCGATTAAGCCAAGACCCTCGGTCCTTATCAAAGCCGCGAGACATGATCCATGACACTTCGACTGGGATTACGAGACCGGCGGTGACAGCAAAGGATGAATCCTTCACTGTCTGCCCGGAGGCAGGGTAAGTGCACACCGAGCCCGCCCTCGCTCCTCTGCTATGCCCTCTGCTGATCAGAGGGTCACGCAGAGGAACGCACTGTTGGTCCGGGATGGACCCCCCCCATGTCAGAATAATTAGCCGCGGCAGCAACATTCCCCCAAGGAATAAGAATTTCTTCTCATTTCTCGAGGAAGATTACTGCCGCGCCCAGGGTGCACCGGCCCAGTTGCTGCTCTTCCCTCCAGACGTATCGAGAGGGACTCGCAACTACCAGGCACACGTGGAGGACTTCTGACTTCGCACCCCTTTTGCTTGCACTTGCGAGAAGGTTATAGGCATTATGCACAGTATAATTAACTTACAGTATGTATTTATCTGACTTTATAGAGCGCTTATCGTATCGACTAATTTAATTTAACTTTTAAATTCTTTTTTTTTATTTTCGAAATTTTACTATAAATTATTATCATTCCTATTTAAACAAAATAAATAAATAAAAAGTATTTATTTGTCACACAAAAATACAAAATTAAAATTTAAATAGACAGCTTAAAAAATTTTTGCGCATAATTCATACAGGGTCTTAGGCAATTGGTGAAACACACGTATCAACAATAAAAAAGTAAAGATAAAAATAAAAAT